TTGTAACACCATGTAATCGCTCCTTCAGTTGAAAAATATGAGTTCGGGAAAGAGAATTGTACCGTTGTTCTAGATGATTCCAGATTGCAGCCGAGGTGGGAAGAGCATGAATATGTGTTTGAACTGTGGGTGAGACAATAGCAAGGAGACAGGCCCGAATCTGAGCATCAATAATATTCCAGGATTCATAGGCCGGATTTGGTTTCATGACCGGCGGTTGATCCTTGCCGGGTGCTGCAGCCTTTTCATCAAGGACAAAAGACGGAGGAGACGACTCAGACCCATCCACGTAGCCGAGAAGACGATGAGCGAGGAGATTTGCACGGACGGTAGCCGACCAAGAGGGATAATTGGTGTCATCAAGCTTGACCGGGGTTAGGGATTGGAGATTCCGGACAAACAACTTGAGACCCGTAGGAAGACGATCCATAGGATCAGACGAGGTAGAAGCCATGGCTGTGCACGGCGTGATCGGCGGTGGAGAGATCGGCTCTGCCGATTTTTTTTTCGGTGATTAGCGCAGGAAAGGAAGAGAGAGGTTAGGATCTTTGTGCTCCGATACCATGTTGATTTAGTAATCCAACTCAACTGAATAATTGTATACATGGGTGTTTATATAGGTGAGAATCCCTACATGAATTAGGATTCACCAAATATGGAAACTAACATAAATAACAATTCTACCATAATTACACTTCTTGCCATATATGCCTAACAATATATATATATATATATATATATATATATATGTATATATGTATGTATGTACGTACTACGTATGTATGTAGCTAGGCAGTAGGCATGCATATTAATGTGAAACTAATTTCAATATAATCCATAAAGACCGTACCTTTTTTTAAGGAAAAGGACTCAACTTGATTAAGCAATGTTGAAAACAAATTAGGGAGGACATCTCAGTACAGATAACCAGCTTTAGTTTGCTGGCAATTACTAACAGATTAAAATTTCATCCGTCTCATTCTTTTTCAACTACTCCCTCCGTCCAGAGTATTCGTTCAGTTTTGACTTTTGGAACTGTTCATCTAAGCACTTTGACTCATCAAATTCTCTCAATGTGTAAGCCTAAATATAGTCATGTGTGATCTTGTTTGATTTGTCTTAACATATAGATTATTAATATATAATTTCTATAATTTTTTAATATACAAATTACAAGATAAAATGGATTGAAGAAGTGCATTGGATGATGTGTAAAAATGAAAGTGGACAAATACTCTGGGACGGAGGTAGTACTTTTTTCGTCCCAACTCTTTCTCCTTTCTTTTTTTCTTGTTTACACACTCTTTTATCTATTAAAAAATTACTTTTATCCCTACTAATTCTTACCATGCATATCACTTCATACTATTTTACTAATAATCTATTCGTCATATTCTACTTTTATTCATCATATCAAAGACATTTTTAGAAAGTCAATACAAAAATAATCCTCTCTTAAATTCTCAAAAAGTCTTTAAAGAATGAACTTTAGGGACGGAGTAAGATTGTATGCAATTAAAAAATTATTATGGAGTAAGATTATGTTTAATTAATATTGAAGTTAAAATGTTCAATAAAATGAAAATAAATATGACTTCCACAAAAATGACCAAATATAATACTCCGTATGAAGCAAAAATATCAAGAGAGAAAAAATACTCCCTACATCCCAAAAACTCATTGATCTTTCATTATTTTTGTGTCCACAATTCTTTTCTCATTTATTTTAAAAAAATCACTCTTACTCTAGTACTAACTCTTATCATATACTCCCTCCGTCCCACTCTCTTTGTCCACTTTTGACTTTTGAAACTGTTAATCTAAGCACTTTGACTCATCAAATTCTCTCAATGTGTAAGCCTAAATATAGTCATGTGTGATCTTGTTTGATTTGTCTTAACATATAGATTATTAATATATAATTTCTATAATTTTTTAATATACAAATTACAAGATAAAATGGATTAAAGAAGTGCATTAGATGGTGTGCAAAAATGAAAGTGGACAAATACTCTGGGACGGAGGTAGTATATCGCATCATACTTTTTTACTAATAATATATATATGACATTATTCTTTAACACATTTGTTAGCCCATGATAGTTTGTTGACGAAAAATCTCGTGCGTTGCTCACAAATGACAGGAGATTAACAAAGGCGGATGATGGCAGTGTAAGTTCGTGGGGGCGCAGCGGAAATCACCAAACACAAGCTATGCAAACAAATCAACCAACTATGCTGCAGAGAAGACGCTGCATCATTGTCACAGTAACATATGACGAACAATGTGCTATAACACTTCTATGTCACAAGCACACACAGAAGCAGATGATGCAAAGGGCGTTACAGCGTCTACTGGGCAGAAGCTGTAAATATAAAATGCGTAAAAAATAACACCAGATATGTTTACGCAGTTTGGAGCAAATTCTCCTAGTCTGCGGGGCACACGTCCGTGTAATAGCCCTCCACTAAATCACTAGATGCAAGTTACACCGGTACATAACAACATGATGAGACACACTTCTCCGAATTGTCATGACAAAACTTCTAATCTAGGATTTCTAACCCGAACTCTGTTCAAATCCGCTTCGGCTATCACATCTCCACCGAGATCACGAGGACAAACGTGTTGGCAGCCCTCTCCTTAAGCTCTGGTTCATCTTCTGGACATCACGATCTGTTTGGCGTTGAAGATCTCCTCCTTCATGTAGATCGTAACCTTCTTTACGCATGGGAAGCTCCGGGACGCGACGGGAATGCTCTACATCAGCGTATATTCTTTATTTTCCCTCTCGATCGCTCCAAGTAATTCCCAGGGACCTCTACGTTTTTATAGGCCTCTTTTAACACAATCCTAGTAGGAATAGGATAGTAGAAGTAGGCTTGAACTCTACTTCCTTAATCTTGATCCACAAGTAGCCTAAAGAGTTGGGATTCCTTAGCATGTACAGCTGGAGTTATTATCATGTAATCACAGTCCCAATATGTCTCTAATTCAGATTGCAGCTTAAAATCCCGTGCTCAGACCTCTGATCCCAAACAAGGTGTTGCAGCATCGTGTTGTAGCATCTTTTGTGTCAACCTCGAAAACTGCAGCAACTCTAGAAGTCTAAATAAATTAAACCTCTCCTAACAAATAGAGGTTTCTACCTAGTACAACACCTAACAAATATGGGATTCTATTTTGCCAAAATATTAGCCAACACCATGGAACCAACAGGCAGTGGCTCGTGTAGACGATGACAGAGTGGCTAACACAAAAAACTTTCTCCCTTAAGTTTTATAAAATTCAAAAGGAGAACATAACGTATGGAATGGATGAAGTATAGAATATGAAAAAAATAGGACAAATTGACTATTATGAAACACCTTGGTACCTACGTTGTTGTTTTATCTTTAAAAGAATTTTTTTCCCCACCGTTTGAATAAACTCCCAATTAAACGGGGTCGTCGTCTTTATTTACCTAAAAGTAGAGTTAGACAAATTAGTCGATAAGGTCGAGTTCAAGTTCGGTCACTTTAGTTTGAAATTCTTTGAATTCGGGTGATACGGTCGGCCTGACGAGCGAGAATTTGCCATCACACAACGAAAGGAGAACGGGTACGCGGCATAGGCGTGCCCCGGCGTGGCAAAAGGATTTTGAGATGCATTAAAACTTTTATTTAATTATTGTAATTTAGATTTTCCTAGGTGAGCGATTTATAAGCTCCTTCGAGGGTTTCTTTACGGTTCTTTACCTCGTCGCTTTTCTTTGAACCGTCAGAATAGAAAACTTGGTTTTAGGTATTGGGGTTTCTATTTAAGTAGCGATGTATTCTCTACCATTACTAAGTAATATCAAAAACCCTAAACCCTACTTCTCTCTCTTCACGCACGGCTCTCTGCCGCTGCCTTTCCCTTCCCTTCTCTCTCTCTCTCTTCTTCTTCTTACGAGCTCGGAGACGCTCTGAGTCTTCTCCTCTCGATACGGAAACGTAACGTATCATTGGGTAAGTTCGGATTCGAGTTAAGAATAGTCATGACCCAATGCCATCGAGTTTGGGTCAATCCAACAGTTTATGAATTTTACTTTTTTGAAATTTTAAGTAACTTTTAGACATATAAACCATGAATTTTACACTTGCAGAAATTTTGAGAAAAAAAATATAATTTTTGGATATCATTAAAATTGTCATAAAATATAAGTTTGCACATTAAAAACGAGTTGTAAAAAAGAAATATATACTTATAATCATATTTTAAAAAATATCATATTTCAAATTAAAGTATACTCCCTCCGTCCCATAAAACCTTTCTCCTTTCTTTTTTTATTCATCCCACAAAACACTTCTCATTTCTATTAAAAAGTCACTTTTACTCTTTACTTTTTCATACCCTAACTATCACATCATACCTTTTTACTAATAATCTATCAATCAAATCATACTTTTACCCATCACATCAAAGGACATTTTTGGAAATTCAATACCAAAATACACTCCCCTTAAATCCCTCCTACTCCCTCCGTTTCCCAGTTTTTGTCCACTTTCATTTTTACACACTATCCAATGCACTTCTTTAATCCATTTTATCTTGTAATTTATATATTAAAAAATTATAGAAATTATATATTAATAATCTATATGTTAAGACAAATCAAACAAGATCACACATGACTATATTTAGGCTTACACATTGAGAGAATTTGATGAGTCAAAGTGCTTAGATGAACAGTTCCAAAAGTCAAAACTGAACGAATACTCTGGACGGAGGGAGTAAAAAGCAAAACTCCCATGTTTCATGGGACGGAGGGAGTATGATTTAAAAAAAAAGTTCTATATTTAACGGATCGATCAGGTCAGGTTCCGAGTTAGGTCAACTTCAAGTTCGGTCAGCACAACTTTTTTCAAAACTCATCGTTTTGGGCCCGGACCAAAAACAGAAAGTTAATAAAATGCCAAATAGTAGCACATTTACGCCAAAAAAAATGCACACTTTTGTGGAAACTGGAAACCCTCCCCAAAAAGGTGTACTTCCTCGACTGCGGTACAAGACCTTTAGACCTCAATTTCCATAAGATTTTTAATCTATAGAATTAGTAAATACTCCATTCGTGCTGTTATATTCGTCCACTTTTGACTTTTGGAATTATTCATCTAAGCACTTTGACTCATCAAATTTTCTCAATGTGTAAGCCTAAATATAGTCATGCGTGATCTTGTTTGATTTGTCTTAACATATAGATTATTAATATATAATTTCTATAATTTTTAATATACAAATTACAAGATAAAATGGATTAAAGAAGTGTATTGGATGGTGTGCAAAAATAAAAGTGGACAAATATAGTGGGACGGAGGAAATATTTAATAATTCAACAAAGAAGTAATTTAATTTTTCTATAGATCTGATAATCTCTCTCCGTTACTCCGTTTTATTTGTTGTTTTCGTATTTCTACGATTTGTGTAATCGTTATTTATAACTAGATTCTAACTCATGTGATGCATGCCGAGAACATTATAAGTACGATGATAAAGAATATAAAACACGAAATCATCTAATAATTAGTGATATAATGATAAGTCACACACTTTCAAATGTATACTAATTTTTTATATAATATAGTAAGTTGCATTATATTAGTTAAATAAAAATATATAATTATAAATTTAGAAAAACTTCTTTATAAATAACATTTCAAGTATAATTTAGCGGATATTTTCTTCATTGCAACTCAAAATCTTCAAACCCTGTCGATTTGTGACCCGTGAATTGAAATAGCAACATAAAATTGACTGTGGTTGAAGATCAGTTTTTTTAAGAGTAGACAACCTTGTATTCTGAGATTGAGACGTGGTGGTTACATTAAGTGACCCCGGAGAGAAAAATAATTGGTAGACTCCAATGAACTAATCTCATTAAATGACTTTATGCCCAGTAATGCATAATTAATATGTCAGAGATGATAATATATAGTTAAATATGATTTTTATAAATTTTTAAAATTTAATCTTTATAATTGTTCGCAAAACATATTTAATTACCGTTAGTTTTGTCACTAAATAGGGTTTGTCTGACAATCCCTTGCATTGGAGATGATTTGTGTTGTACACCACATTCATTTTCTGTAATGAGATACATAAAAGTATATGTGTTACATAAAGTAAACTCCACCCGCTACCAAGTGAAGTACACAATTTTTACGATTGTGATTGTATCATTATGACCATGCATTTTAGTATGTATCAAACTATTTTTAATTGTGTGTAATTATATTATTGATTATTTGAGAAAAAGAAATCTCCCTGAATAAGAGTAAAAAAATATGAAAATATCAAAATAAGAGTCCTAAGTCTTTTAAGACCAAAATAGGAGTGGACTGGCATTATGGTGGAGTGCTCATTGGTAGTGTGATGCAAAAGTGATCACAAATGTAATATATCAGTGTGATCAGTCAATCCACGGCGGTCTACGGCGACATGCACTTTGGTGGCCGGCGGCGACGTATGGCAGTGTGGTGGTGATAGTGTGTCAATTACAATGTGATTATGTGGTGAATGTTACAATGTAACAATGACAGTGTGAACACCTATTTTGATCTTAAAAGACTTATGACTCATATTTTAATATTTTCATACTTTTTTACTCCTATCTAGGGAATTATCCCTTTGATATATATTTGTTAGCTATTATTTTATAGAATTTTTTAATGTAACTTTTAAATATGTAACTTGTATTGTTTATTACTATACTAATAATTAAATAAAATGAAATTAAAAAATTAAAATTTTAATTCAATTTGTGTAAAATGCTAATTTTTTGGAACGATGAAAGTGTAATGCAAAAACAGTGGAAGGCAGAGAGTGTTTTAAATATACAAGGAGTGGGCACAAGACCAAGCGAATACCGAGATATTTAAATTTATATTTGTTTAATTTTTTCAAATACGAATCCAAATCCGAATGTGAGACGAATAAAATGTAAGTTCGTGGGGGCGCAGCGGAAATCACCAATTAAGAGCTATGCAAACAAACGATCCACTATGCTGCAGAGAAGACGCTACAGCACTGTCACAATAACAGATGACGGACAGTGTGCTATAACACTTCTCTGTCACAAGCACGCACACAGAAGCAGATGATGCAGAGAGCGTAACAACGCCTACTAGGCAGAATGTTGTGACTGTAAAAAGCGTAAAAATAACACCAGATATGTTTACGCAGTTTGGAGCAAATTCTCCTAGTCTGCGGGGCCCACGTCCGTGTAATAGCCCTCCACTAAATCACTAGATGCAAGTTACACCGGTACATAACAACATGATGAGACACACTTCTCCGAATTGTTATGACAAAACTTCTAATCTAGGATTTCTAACCCGAACTCTGTTCAGATCCGCTTCGGCTATCACATCTCCACCGAGATCACGAGGACAAACGTGTTGGCAGCCCTCTCCTTAAGCTCTGGTTCATCTTCTGGACATCACGATCTGTTTGGCATTGAAGATCTCCTCCTTCATGTAGATCGTAACCTTCTTCACGCATGGGAAGCTCCNGGAGCAAATTCTCCTAGTCTGCGGGGCCCACGTCCGTGTAATAGCCCTCCACTAAATCACTAGATGCAAGTTACACCGGTACATAACAACATGATGAGACACACTTCTCCGAATTGTTATGACAAAACTTCTAATCTAGGATTTCTAACCCGAACTCTGTTCAGATCCGCTTCGGCTATCACATCTCCACCGAGATCACGAGGACAAACGTGTTGGCAGCCCTCTCCTTAAGCTCTGGTTCATCTTCTGGACATCACGATCTGTTTGGCATTGAAGATCTCCTCCTTCATGTAGATCGTAACTTTCTTCACGCAAGGAAGCTCCGGGACGCGACGGGAATGCTCTACATCAGCGTATACTTTTTGTTTTCCCTCTCAATCGCTCCAAGTAATTCCCAGGGACCTGATGCGTATTTATAGGCTTCTCTTAACACAATCCTAGTAGGAATAGGTTAGTAGAAGTTGGCTTGAACTCTACTTCCTTAATCTTGATCCACAAGTAGCCTAAAGAGTTGGGATTCCTTAGCATGTACAGCTGGAGTTATTATCTTGTAATCACAATCCCAATAGATCTCTAATTCAGATTGTAGCTTAAAATCCCGTGCTCAGACCTCTGATCCCGAACAGTGTGTTGCAGCATCGTGCTGTAGCATCTTCTGTGTCAACCTCGAAAACTGCAGCAACTCTAGAAGTCTAAATAAATTAAACCTCTCCTAACAAATAAAGGTTTCTACCTAGTACAACACCTAACAAATATGGGATTCTATTTTGCCAAAATATTAGCCAACACCATGGAACCAACATAAAAAACAAGATTTGATTTTGTATTTGATTAATATTTGAATAATTAATGAATCTAAAACGAATATTTGAATAATCATACTCCGTAAGTTATATGATAGACCAACATCGATTTTGAACAATTGAACTTACCGTAGTTCTTATACTATATCTAAAAATATTAATACATATGAATCTTACACAAATTATATTTGATAAAATATAACTATTAAAAATCATATGCTTTAGATTTTCGTGTTACGTTAATTTGTCGAATTCTTGGTAACTTAAATACACTTTATACTATATTATTTTGCTTGACTATTTATGTCGAAAACATGGTCCGTTTGTATATATGTATTCTAATATCATCCGGATCGAATATACCCCTATTTGTATTTCTATTTGTTTAATATTCGAATCAAAAGTAATATTTGAATTGAAAAATAATGCGAATTTGAATCATTATATTCGACATGAAATCATTGAATTTTAAAGTATCTGATTTTGTTAGAATATAAATAACTGTTCCTGGGCCACAATCACAAGCTTGAGCTTTTGGTTGAATCGGTTCCTTGACATGGTATAAGAGCCTCGTTGACTAAGAGGTCACGTGTTCGAAACTCAGCGCCACCCAGTTTAAAAAAAATTAAGGTTTCACGTGCAAGGCTCGAAAAAAAGTCTACGCCTGCACGTGAGGGGGCGTGTTAGAATATAAATAACTGTTTTCTGGGCCACAATCAAAAGCTTGAACTTTTGGTTGAATCGGTTCCTTGACAGATTTGTTTACCACTCCCTAGTAGCTAGCTCTCTAATCCTCCCTTGGTGATTAACATGGTGATAAGCGTCATTAGTGAATAAAAAAAAAGGCGCCAATCATTTCCAAACAGCCGCGGGAAAAGGATGAATTGGCGGGAATGGCAGAAACAAAAGCATCGAGATTCTATAAAAATCATCTGGAGTCTCGGCGTAATCTTCAGCCACCAAAGAAATAAAACCACTCCTCTTTTTCCCCCTGTTTTAGCCACTCTACCCGAAGTAACCCCGCCGATTCATCGATCTGCTAAAATGGAAAATGGCTGCGCGGAATCGACGCCGCCGCGGCCTAAGGTAGGAGTGGCGGTGTTCCTGTTAAATGGGAATAAGGTGCTCTTAGGACGGCGCCTCTCTCCCGTCGGCTACAACACCTTCGCCCTTCCCGGCGGCCACCTCGAGTTCGGTTAGTTAGTTCGTTTACCTGATCTCTCTCTCTCTCTCTGATTCTATTCGTCATAAAGAAATGCGATTTTGAGAAATGTTTGGAGAACTCCACTTTGATAACATGATAGAATTTAAAATGAGGTAGGGATAATTGGACAATGTTAAAGTGCATCCCACATCAGTGCAAAGAGTAAAATAATCGGTATATAAGCTTTTGAGTTGAACTTATTAATTGATTGGATTCAATCTTTTAACGTTGTTTAACCGATTGTCTTATTTCCTAACCCAGTTATCCTTTATCATGGTATCAGAGCAGATTTTGGCCCATCTCGTTTGTCAAAGTGTTCGTCTAGACGTTCATTCCTAGCGGTCCGTTCGTCTTTAGCCCAGTTATCCGTATGGAATATGTACCCAACGGTCTGTGGCCCGTTTAATACGATTACTCGTTTGGAAGTCCATATCCAGCAGCTCGTGGTCTTTTAGGTGTTGGCGCTCAAAAAAAATTAAGGGAATGAGAGTTAATTTGCAAGTGATCAACCAATTATATTCAATATGACCCGGTTGTCCACTTGAGGGGGAGTGCTAAAGTGCATCCCACATTAAAAGATTGAATCCAATTGATTAGTTAGTTCAACTCAAAAGTTTATATACTGATTATTTTAGTTTTGAATTTCCAATGCGGGATGATCTCTAACGCAAAATGCGCAATATTTTAGGGACGGAAACTAACTCTTATGTACGAATTCTTGTTTTTCTATATGAATTTCAGGGGAGAGTTTTGAAGAATGTGGGGCAAGAGAGGTAAGAGAAGAGACAGGACTAGACAGTGACAAAGTTGAGTTCTTAACAGCCATCAACAATGTGATGGTCCCAGAGAGAGTTCATGTTGTCTGTGTGCTCCTACGGGCAACCATTCCTCCAGGGCAGAACACAGTGCCCCAAAATCTGGAGCCAGACAAGTGTGGGGGTTGGGACTGGTATGACTGGGACAACCTCCCAAACCCTCTCTTCGGACCCTTGGAGGACGCCCTCCGGTCTGGTCTTAATCCCTTCCCTCCAAAACTCTTACTATCCTAAAAACAAAAGTCAAGATGATTTTGTCTTTTAGAACATTTGATAATTACGATTTTGTTTTCTCTTCTCGATACTTTTTGTTTGTTTACGCGATTTCATTAAGTATTTGGTGAAATAAAATATTCTTGCCACCTCTTGTTTTGTAGAACTTTTGACGTAGTTTTTTAATATGTAATTTTTATTTCTTATTGATATACTGATTTGTAAATAAAAAGATTTCAAAAAGTGATATATTTCTCCTTGTAAACACCAATTTGTAATCAAATTGGGGATGGAGGGAGTATAATTTATAAATTTATAACCTTTATTTTAAAAATTTTATATCAATTTTTGAGTATATTGAAATTGAGAAAAGTGAGGTTCAAAGACTATAAAGCAAAACATGACTTATTTTTTGGGCTGAGGAAGTATGTGGTTCAATCTTTATTTATTTACTTTTTTACTTCAATTGTTAGTTTTTTTGTTAGAATAATACATTTATGTCATCTTTTCTTCTATTTTGAAAATACTGGATGAAATTTTGAAATATGAAGAGACTATTTGCACCAAATTTAGTACTCCCTCCGTCCCCCATAGATCTTCCTAATAGCCCTTTTTCTTTGTCCACAATAGATCTTCTCATTTCATTTTTTAACAATTAAAATACCACAACTACCCTCACTTACTTTATTTATTACACCTCACCCACCTCATTTAATACACTCCACCCATTTCATTAAGGGTATTATGGTAAACTTTCACCTTTTTTCAACTCTCCTTAAAAAACACCAAAAGTCAAAATGAGAACATCTTAGGGGGACGGAGGGAGTACCTCGGAGTAATTAATTTTATGATATGTTTGAAACATGGATTTAGGACTTCAAATTTTGATTTGGTTCAAATTATATACTCCGTATTTGGCAAACTTAAAAATTTTGAATTTGGATTTGAGTCAAATTCTTCTCATTCATAACAAAGCTTAATTTGAAATCCATGCATCTTCCTTTGTTATTTGAAATTTAAGATTTCAAATTTTGAAATTACAATGCATGAATTGAAATGAAATGCTAGTTGCCAAACACTACCTTAGTGTTTTCCGAGAAATTATGTTTTATAAATTGAATTAAAAATAGTATATGATCAAATATTTTATAGTGCAAATTGAATTTTATTCTCTTAAAAGTAAGGTGAATTCAAATCCCACTGAAAACACAAACTGTCTAAGGTATGTTTGAAAAATAATAATCCCTTTATCTACAAATAAACTTTTCGTTTACTATTCACAGGGTCAAATTTTATTCACTTTGTTGGTCTATTTTCGTCTCCCATTTGATAAAATAATATAGTCATGCCACTTCTAATTTTGTATATTTTTTATATAGTTTTTTAATATGTAATTATTATTTTTAAATTTTACACCATTTTTCATATTAATGATTTGAAAATAACTTCAGTCAAACATCATGGACGGAGGGAGTAAATGGTATGTTTGGGAACATGGATTTGGATTTCAAATCCGGATTTCGATTCAAATTCCATGTTTGGAAATTTAAAAATTTTGAATTTGAATTTAAGTCAAATTCTTCTCATTCATAATAAAGTTTAATTTGAAATCCATGTATCTCCCTTGTCATTTGAAATTTAATATTTCAAATTTTGAAATTGTAATGCATGAATTAAAATAAAATGCTTGTTGCCAAACACTATCTAGATTCTATTACTTTCTAGTAGAATAAGTCCAAGTTTAGAATAAAATTCACTATCCTGCTTCACCATAAGATTTTTTTTTGTGTGAAATATTATTTTTTCGATAATTGTGACAATTTATTTCTGTTAAACATTACCAATCTAGCGGGATGTATTAATTGCCGGGAGCTTGTTTTATTGAAAAAAGAATTAAACTACATGTACCTCAAAAGTTATACCTTAAATTGTACACTACATGTATGTATTTTGTGTCAGTGTGATTCTAGGATGATAGTTTACACAGACACAAAATATTAGTATAAATTTTTTAATCGCAATAATATATTATGTTAGTATGAATAATCGAAATGTTAATATATAACTTTGGAGTAAACTTTGTCATACATTCTATGAGGTGCCTCTGGTTGGAAAAAAAACTCAAAAAAGCATGTATTGTTGCCATGAACTTGTTCCTGCCGGCAGGACGGTTTGTTTTCTTGGTTTCATCAAAACTAACAGTTTTGGCATCCACCCTTGTTTAGATTAAGTGAAAAAAGGAGAGAAAGGAAAATAGTAGGCATTTAGGCAACAAAATGAAGATATGAGAAAGTGATGAGAGAATAAAAAGAAAAGTATTGTTGTATGGATGATGTAAAAATGATGACAAAGTGATGAGAAAATCATCTTGACTTTTGTTTGTAGGACGGGGGAGCTAGTAATATTAATTATCTTTCCAAAAACAGCTTGGTACATAGGTTGTTGCAGTTGTTTTCCTTTATCCCAATTCAAATATGACATATTACAAGTTATAATATTTGAGTCAAGTTATTCTTAAATGAGTAATTTATCTAAATATGACTAAAACATAATGACTTTCCCAATATAGGACCATATGTTTTTATTTTCTCAATGTAGGACTTTTGGTCATTATCAAGTAATTATTATTCAAGTAAATGTCCATCATTACTAGACATTATTCCTCCCACAAGGTCGTTATTAAGTCCTATTTAAGGAATAAAAAAGTTTAAGTCCTACATTAGGAAAGTCATTATGTTTTAATCCTATTTAGTGCAAATTTCACTTCTTAAATACTCCATAATAAATAGGAATACATATTAAAAACTTCCATATAAATTAAAAGCATTGTACAATGTATATATACGATTATATATATAGTACCTACAATGTTAACTTTCAAATAACTTTCCATTTCACATGTTTCGATTATAGAAATCATCCTAAATAGAACTAAAACATAGAGAAAAGTACCAAAATAGGAATTTCATGTTTTTTTTTCCGGAATATGACTTTGCACTGTGGTAATGTGACTTTGCATTGTGGTAATGTGGTAGTGTACATGTGCAAATTACTATACTTTCTTGGTAATGTATATGACCATGTTTGGTAATGTAAGTCCTATTTCGGGAATAAAAACATGGAAGTCCTATTTTGGTATATTTTCAATGTTTTAGTCCTACTTTGGTCTTTCTCCCTTTCGATTATTTATAGGGAGATTATTCAAATAGCACTTAAACATAATAATGACTTTTCCTAAATAGCATCATATTTTTTTTTCCAATGTAGTACTTTTAGTCATTATCCATTAGGCATTATTCAAGTAAATATACGCCATCACTGAACATTATTCCTCCTTCTGGATCGGATATTATTAAGTGCTATTTAGGAAATAAAATAGTTTAAGTGTTATTTGTGGAAATGACTTAAGTTTAGTGCTATTTACTGTAAATATTTCTTTATTAATAATTTGGATTTGGGGCACCTCAAAATGAAAAATTAATACTTAATGCCTCAAAATGGAAAATTAATAGAAATGAGAAAGATTTTGGAAACACAGGTTTTTTTTTGAAACGTGAAGGATTTTTTGAGACGGGGCAATAAATTATACCCGTCCCTAATTAAACTTAACAAAGAATACACAAACAAAAAAGGATGATCAACATTCGTTACAAAAACAAGCGAAAACAATGGAGGCAGCAGGCATAAAACAAAAAAGAAAAGTGATACGAGGTTATCTCAGCCGGCGGTACGTCGATCGGGTCGAACTCGTGGGACTCCGAAATACTTGGAGGATTATTCCCGATAAATCATGTTCGGAAGACGTGTTCGGAAGACCTAGAATATTATTCTAAGTTATTTACAGTTTTACTTTTATTCATTGTTATTTTTGTTGGTTCATTTCATTGATTTTGTTGACTGATTCCATTCTGTTAGCAGCTTGACCTTTTCTTACGGGTAGAGGGTAGTTAGTTTCCTTTTTTCTAGCTTAGTGGGGAATATGGATGTTAGCAGCAGCTCCTGCGTGAGCAATACCCTTTCTGCTGCCTATTTATATATGTTTTTTCCTTCATAAATGGTAGAGAATTAAAACCCAAACAGAACTCCCTTCCAATCTTGCACAAAGGCTGCGTCAACCAGCTTTCCTGTTGGCAAATTATCTACTTTAATATCATTGCTGGAGTGTGTATCGGCTCGAAGCGATACCCGTTAAGTCATATCTTAACATTTTGGTGCTCTTGTTGAGAGAATGGCGGCAACACCACCTGATCCCAATTCCACGGCGGCTCTTGCGGCAGCCATGGAAAAGAAACTTTCAGAGATGTTCTGGGAATTTTCAGAAGTGCAAAAGGGAGCCATACACCAGGAGATTGTCTCGGTCCACAAGAAGATCGACTCGCTGAACACCCGGATCGAGAAGGTGGAGAGCAATCAGGGAGAGGCGTCTCATGTTCGGCACGACAAGGTAGTCCGCAACAGTGAAGATGAA